TCTACTAGCTTCTTGTTACTACTAGTAAGGCACCTGTTACTACTAGTGAGGCACTTGTTTCTACTAGCTTGAGAAACTTCAGAAAACTTGAAGAATCATGAGTTGTTTTTCACCGTTGTTTCTGATGTTTTTATTCGACGGTGGCCCAGTCGAACGGGACCAATTTTTGTACGTCGAACTGTCAGGGGTATGGGCCTGGTGAGGGTTTGTGTACGTGTTGAAACCAGCTGGTCCTTTTTGACCTTCGAAAGAAAACCAACTTCGATTGAATGAGCAACCGCCAAAACATGCAATGACTAATTTAATAAAGAGTGGTCGTGATTTTCTGGAATTGGGCTAAAACCTGCAAAAGCGATAGGCCCCCCCCTCAAAAGCGAGAAACTTGCTGAATCATGTCCTCTACTTGACAGTACGTTTTGACAGACGCTCAAATGATGTTGTTGCAAGGGTACACTGAGGTTGGAGATGTGTACCCTGGATTTATTTTCCCATGAACAGAGCAATGAGCACCCCCTGTTCCAAGTTCATGAACTGCTAGGGTGCTGGAAGATCAGATCCCGAGTGGCCGGTAGATGCAGTTGATGAAGAGAATCAGACAGACAACGAAAATCCACCCGCAAATGGTCATTGGATTAGCCTAAATGTTTGAAATCGGTTGCCTATGCATAAATATGAAATATGTGTAGTATCTGCAGTGCCTATCAAAGCAAACATGGGCCTGCAGGATGACTTAGCCAAGAGCTCCGGATCGAGGTATCTCGAGTGTAACGCCGACTCTGTAAGTCCAAGATCATCAAGGACATTGGATTTCTATAGATTTAGCTGTATTAGATAGATACGCTGATATGCACCATTTCATCTCAAGTCCCAAAGTGTCGAAGACAGATCCCCACAATCGGTTCCGCCAAGGTTCTTCACCGAGAAATGGCACTACACCATCATTGATGCCCCAGGCGCGTGGCCGGAGGGTGGGTGGTGGTGCACTGGGCCAGCCAAAACCCAAGCATAGGTACCATGACCATCATGACCATGACAGGTACAAGCACCATAACACAGTTTGAGCCCTCATCAGTTTCAGCCCTCACAATTCACCATGCGTTGGATCAAGATTTGAGGTTCCGGTGGATCTGAGAAACGACATATGGCTTTTGCTGAGTGGATCAGAGGGAGCTTGATCCTGGACGTGGGGCGGGTAAGTCGGAAACCACATCCGGGCGGGGACAGTGGAAAGGAAGTTTGCTGTTTACGGGATTCCTAAACATCTAGGAACCAAATCACTAGTGCGAGTGCGAGTGCGAGCGCTTCTTCAAGGAAGCTCCTCCGCCTGAGAGCTATCCTGCGTCCTAGCTAGGAGCTTTCTATTGCTAGCAGCTTACGACCCCCTTACTTAATTAAGTAGTTAGGTGCCTACTTAATTAAGTAAGGACGGGAAAACAAGATATATATTATATATATATAACATAATTACATAATTAACATCAAATAAAGCATTTAGAAATTTAAAGTAAAACGCTGCTTTGCTGTTTAACAATGGGTGGCCTCTTCAATTGCGACTGGTCGGATGTTTGGCGGATGGGTGGTCGTTCATCGGATGCTTTGGGATATCTTCGAGTTTGGATGTTGTTTTTTTATTCCTATGTTCCTTTTTTTAGAGTGGGGGGGGTAGGCCATAGAGGGAGAGAGTAGCCAGGGCAGGATAGCTCACGCTTCTTCAAGGAAGCTTCCCCCACCTGAGGGCAGGGGGGAGCTTCCTTGAAGCAGCGCTCGCACTATTCGTTTGGTTCCTAGATTTTTAGGCACACTGCGATTTCAGCAATCTTGGCTGATGATGAGCTACAGACTTAGCTGGTTTATGAACTGCTCACCCAAGAAGCTTCCAACCATGCCATGCGTCAGCTTCTCATCAAGATTTGTAATAAACCTTGTGCTTTTTAAAACCTCAGGGTGTACCCAGCCAGCTACTCAACTGCCATCGACACTGCAAACTTTGCATGGAGTGTTTGTCCAAGAAGATGCAGACTCTCCCTGTCAAGGCAACGTGGAAGAGTCACGAATTTCACAACGCGGCCTTGCTACTGAAACTCCGCCAGCACAACCCACACGTTGCGTTGCCACACTGGCGGCTTCCTTGCCATAAATGATTGGCTTTCTCACCTGGAGCTCATCCCATGAATGTCCAAGTCCAACAGGTGGTGTGGTATTTTGAGTTGTGCAGGCCATCGTGACTTCATCAAGAACATGATCACTGGTGCCTCTCAGGTGCTGGGGTTGTACAGGTCGTTGCATGCTGCAGAGGGCAAAGAACATGATAAACACAGCAGTGTCGGTGTCACCTCACTCCTGTTATGTCAATGTGAACTCGCCGGCAAAAGGCAGGGCAGCTGGGCAATAACCTCAGAAACATCATGAGGCAACAACCTCGAAGTGGCAAGACCTTTGGTATCCCCGATCGAGTGGGATTTGGTCAGCAGGAAATGATCGGAGTGAGTCAACGGGTCTAAAGTCCAACAGCTTTGAGAAACGGTGAAAACATGTGAAAATCTATTGTCAGAGGCCATAGCTCTTAGGTTGGAGGCCATCACTATTAGGTTCCTTTAAGACAGAGATGGGCAAGATTGGATTCTGAGGGCCAACAGACTCAACAGACGGTTTCAGGAGATGTGAAAGCACGAGTCCATGGCCTCCAACCTAAGAGCTATGGAAGAGACCGTTTCTTGAGATCGAGTGAGTCTTTTTCTTGGCATCTCAGTCATGAGGTAATTGGGTCAAAACAAACAGCTTCACCAGCACCTGGAGGAGGAATGAGTGACAGCCAGGTTGGTCAACAGGTATACGTATTGTCACATATTACTTTGATATATTGTATTGAATATAGTAATGTTGTTTATCTAGTATAGTATATACAGCTCATTATACTAATTATCAGACGCCGTTTCCTCTCAAGCCACTGAACCTAGAGTTTGGACCATTTTGATAAGTTGAAACCCTGTGAGGAAGCCTGTCACTCCTGGCTTGTGACAGGTCAACTGCTTGGTCAGTGAATGCATTTTGTCCCAGAAAAAATCGTTCAAGCCGCAGGCCGATGTGGCCCTGATCATGGTGCCGGCCGATGGAAACTTCACCACCGCCATCGCCAAGGGAAACCACAAGGCCGGCGAGATCCAAGGACACCGAAGGGGAGTGGATTTTTTGGAGCGAGCACGTTTCAATTGGGAATCGCTTCACCTGTAGTAACAAGAAGCTACGAAGGGAGCAAAGGGCATTTCTACGAACGGAGCAAGGACGCTACGAACGTAGCTCCTGGCCTCACTACTAGTATCAAGAAGCTACTAGGAACAAGGGCATCGCTACTAGTAACAAGAAACATTTTAGCATGTCTTTGAAGCTTTCTAGCAATAAGAAGCTACTAGGGGCTCCTGGCATCGCTACTAGGAGCAAGGATGCTACTAGGGGCTCCTGGCCGTACTACTAGTAGCAAGGACGCTACTAGTAACTACAAGCTTTCAAAACGGCTTTGCGTTGGAAAGAGACCATCTTAACGGACGAACATGGACCGAAGATCTAGGAGGCTGTCTAACACCTCCAGGTGAAAGCATCAAGATTCATCGAGTGAGGACGAAAAAGAGATTTTGGGAATAGAACATCCACCAACAAACGTCAACATTTGAAGCTTGGTTTTGTTTGCTTAAATCTGTTTTGTAGTCCCTCTGGAAAAGGACTGACTTGAAGCAGCTCCATAGAGCCCCAGTGACTCCTGCTTTCGTCCTCTTCCGCTCTGAGCTGCTCTGGCGCGAGGACAGACTCGTCAGCACTCGCGTCTCATCAATTTGTTGGGCGTGAAACAGATTTGCATCGGCGTGAACAAGATGGACTGCGACACCGCAGGCCAGATTCGAGAAAACAATGTGTCTACTTGGGACGTGCATGGGGATAATGCATTGTTGGTTGTTTGTTTTTGGTTGTTTGGTGGTGGTGGTGGTGGTGGTGGTTGGGCTGATGTCTGGCAGTTGTAGATGAGAGATTGCTGCAAAACTGCAAAAGTATGGATGACAGATTGCCGCGTGTTTGATGTCACCATCCTTGCAAGAAGTAGGGCCAGTTATTTTACTATAAACTTGTTCTACTATTCAACTACTACTACATTGCAAGAACAACATTCTGTTTCAAATTTTAACTGAGTTTTGGAGAATCGTCCACCAGCTTCCTGGCAGCCACATAGCCACATACGAGGCTACAAGCAGGCTCGCTACGATGAGATCGCCAACGAGATGAAGAGCATGTTGGTCAAGGCGCACATGTTGGTGGGACCTCACGAACGGTTGATTGGATTGACTATAATTGATATCATAATATATCATATATCATCTACAATATTCTAATCCATCCAGATACATAGAGATAGTCGATATACTCTTGAGCATTCCCGGACCACTCCACAGCTGGTCAGGTTGGCTGGAAGAAGGACTTCATCGAGAAAAGCACCCCCGTGATGCCCATCTCCGGCTGGATGGGCCACTGGGCGGAAAGGCGAGGACGTGGCCCAGAATGAGCTGGCAATGATCGCGGATCGCACAAGAAGTGTGCTTTGTGTCATCTAGGTGCAGATTTTGTCATAAGTATTGCTTTTAATATTGAAATATACTTCCTTTTTACTGGAACTTGAATATATTCAGATAGACCTCCTCCGGTGGATAGACTTCCCCTTCGGTCAAAGTCTACGAGGTGGGGAAACAGAATTGTGAGGCACACCGAAATACGGTAGAATCGTGCGCCAAAAAGATGGTTTTCTATGGTGGACGTGGGTAGGGTGGATGGCCTTGTTAGACAGTGGACGGTTCTTGTTACTAATAGCTTCTTGTTACTACTAGTAAGGCACTTGTTAATACTAGCGATGCACCTGTTACTACTAGCGAGGATTCCTTTAAACGTTTGAAACAACACGAGCAAAGCCGGGCAAAGCGACTAGTTCACGGATGATATGCCATGAGGGCAAACTTCAGTGACCACTTCTGGCATGAGAAACAACTCATTGTTCAGTAATAAGGGATAAACATCCCTCTCGTGGATCCTGGAGCGATGAACAAAGGTGACAACTTGCTGAAGAAGTCTGAGAACATGGGCTGGTGGAAGGGTCAGGACACAGTGAAAACATGTGATTTTGACCGAACGTTTCGGCCGAACTTGTCTCAGTCGGCCCAGAGTCAAGTGTAGACCACTAGGTGCAAGAGGGATCGTCTTTTCCTCAACAGATTCCCCGAACAAGAGAAGGAAGCGTGTGGGGTAGATCTGACACCATTTGATTGCATAGACCGTTGTTCGACTTCTAACAATAACAGGTAAACAACAAGGCAAACCGATTCATCTACAGATTCGCAGAGACATTTTTCAGGGACGGAAACAAACGAGTATAGGTAGGGGACGCTACTAGGAGCAAGGGCATCGCTACTAGGGGCTCCTGGAATCCCTACTAGGACGAGCAAGAAGCTACTGGGGGACTAGGGGCGCTCCTGGCCTCACTACCAGTAACACGAGGACGCTACTGGGGGCTCCTGACATCGCTACTAGGAGCAAGGACGCTACTAGGGGCTCCTGGCCGTACTACTAGGAACACGAAGCTACTAGGAACAAAGGGCATCGCTACTAGGAGCAAGAAGGTAGTAGTAACAAGTGCCACGCTTCTAGTAACAAGTGCCTTACTAGTAGTAACAAGGTTCGCTATTAAATTGATAGCTTTTTGTTACTAGTAGTAAGGCACCTGTTACTAGTAGCGTGGCACTTGTTACTACTAGCGAACCTTGTTACGGGCATCGCTACTCCGTTCGATGTTTCAGGACGTGGAGGTGGGCAGCGAGATGATCCACGTGGACACCGTCTACGACGTCTTGGACAAGATGTGCCGTGTACCGGAGCGTCCGATCAGCGCCCCAATGCGCATGCCGATCAGTGGCATCTACAAGATCAAGGGCGCCGTGGTGAGAAAATACATGAATCGGGATGAAGATGGTGCGAAGATCGGGATGTTTAGGGAAAATACATGGCAAGCTTATGGTGTTTAGATTCAGAATTTGTTTCTCTTGGACCCGAATCATGTGGCAGACACATGCAACTGTGGAAAATACAGTGCTTGAGATGGTTTGTCACTTGCTACTGAATAGCTAATCAAGGGTGCCTTGAACCAGAACAAACAGTACGGGGGTTGGCACAAGGCTCGTAACGCTTCCTTCGGACATGCAACAATCATCCCGTTGACCACTTCGATTGGATCTGCCGAACTACTCGGTCAACTACGTCGAGGAAAATTCCCGCAATAAACGTTCAGATCGGGTGTCTTTGTGTTGCACTGGTCCAAAAAATTGGAGATTTAAAACACACTTTTCATATTTATTATTGTTTCATTTTTAAACACATCATTTCTTATTGTTTCTTTGCATTTTTGGACGGGTTTCGGTTTTTTTATTCATTTCTGAATCCGACATTTCTGGACCAACTGGGATGCGAGATGGAGGAGACACACACAGCCGTTCGGGAAGACCAGGTCGGACGTTCTTAATGAAAACCAAGGGAGAAGATCCGAGAAAGGAACCATGTCCAATGGCGATCAAACATTTGAGATAAGAACAAAGGAGATGGCCCAAACAAGATGAAATAAACGATGTAACTTCGGAGATGGATGCCTTTTAGATCTCCATTAGACTCTATTCTCCCGAAGTGGCCACGCAAGTGGGCGATCCCAGATGTTGGGATTCATGTGCATAGGTTCTTATATGGACAAAAAGGACTTGTTCATTTGAGCTCAATTAGATAGTTAAACAATCTGGAGATCTATAGACTTTAAACGTAGAGGAATGAAACACACAGTTCTATTTCCCCAAAGAACTTACGACTTGCTCTGGTTGAGCGTTTGGGACACGAACATCACACGGTGGGTCGTCCGAGGCGTGGGTGATGTGCTCGCCGGACGTGTCGAGCAGGGTGTTGTGAAGCCCGGTGAAGAGGCGAAGCCGAGATGTCTCGGACGAACGACGCTACGTTCACTGAGCAAGGGCATTGCTATTAGAAACAATTTGAATTGACATTCAATTAAATCTAACTCGAATTTCATTGGAATTCAAACTAAAAGCTACTAGGACCTTTTCGCGCCGCGCCGCGCGCGCGCGCGGGGGGTGGGGTAGGAGCAAGGACACTACTAGGGGCTCCTGGCGGTACTACTAGGAGCAAGGACGCTACTAGTAGCAAGAAACTATTACATCTTAAGCCTGGGGGCGGGTTATATACTCATCCCCACAAAACGGGATTGGATCATTGGTTTGCAGCCAATTTACACCAAGAAATCTCCACCATCTGGTGGGGATTCAAGTGCGACTTTCGCTCGAATGTAGTTGAAGTAGACTTGAAGAGCGGCATGCGGAGATGAGCCGTTTGACTGTCAAATGCGGTTGCTTCGCAATGGGCCGGGAAGAACACACACCAAGGAGCGGGATTCAGGGTGGATCTCGGTGTGCATTACGCAATGCAAGTTAGACCTTGGCTGATTGAACGGAATGGTGATGCGTCAGCGGAACAGAATTGTTTTAACACGGGTGAAACGGACTTAATTACATACAATTGCAACAAATTATGCAGGTACGTCGGAGTGATCAGCTCCGATATCCTCCCAAACTAATGAGCAGCTTCGTTGGCAGGCTCATGAGTGGGCGCAGTAGGCCCCCTGCTGAGATGTGTGTCCCTAAGAACGGATGTTGACACACACACACACACGTACGTACGTGCATACTGCCTTACTAATCTCTACGAACTAGATGTATTTGGCACCAAGTCAGACCTTGGCACATCCTGTTTCGTTTGTCTTTGCTGATGAACTTCGGATTGTGACGGCGCCCAAACATCGAAGAACAAGCACAGTTGACATGTCCGTGTTTGATCGTCATTCTCAGTCTCAAGATTCTCAAGTCTGAGGTTCTATCATGTTCTATCTACTATTTTAGATTCATTTAGATGAATTTCCTCGCCAACCTTTGGTGCTGGACCAACCGGATTCATCCCGAAGCACGGAACCGATGAGTTTTGGCCAGGTGGTCTTCCTGCCGACGCACACCACTAGCAACCCCTGCAGCTTTGGATCAATGGCCGGGGGGCACCGATGGTTCTCAAGGCACAAAGGTCGCACCGTTGGAACAAGGATGCTCCTTGCAACAAAGGGCATCGCTACGAACGGAGGAAGGACACTAATTACTAGGGGCTCCTGGCCTTACTACTAGGAGCAAGGACGCCACAAGTAGCAAGGTCGCACCATTGCTTTTCCCTAAACATCTAAGAATCTAGGAACCACATGAATAGTGTGGAAGAACTTCCTTGAAGAAACGTGAGCTACCCTGCGTCCTAGGAGCTAACTTAGCCCTTACTTAATTGAGTGGGCGCCCACCTAATCAAGTAGTAAGGGTGCAGAGCGGGCCAAAATATAAACCTTGGAGGCCATCGCTACTAGGAAAAAGAGGAAGAATGGTCTAATATAGTTTGCGAGCCCAAGATGACCACCTCAATGACTGCCTCGGAATTTGATCGTTTGGATCGTGTTCCGTTTGGGAAGTCGCCACCGTCAGGCACTGGAAAGGTCTTCACCGTTGAGATGCACCACCAGCGTGTGGACTTTGCCAACCCAGGCCTCGAAGGGTGGAGGGTGGTGAAGAACATCATGGTGGACGGCTTTCTACTAGGAACAAGGACGCGACGAACGGGGCTCCCGGCAGCTTTCTTTCTTCATGTGCCGAGCTGGGTTCTTCTGCGCCAAACGCGATCGCAGACACCTGCGGATTTCATTCCGGTGAGGCGAAGGGTGACCAAATCGACCAAAGTAGTCGCAGACACCTGCATCACCGAAGGGGACCCATCCTACCGATGCTTCAGACGAAACAAGGCATGGGACTATGAAAGCGACACCGGGTGCATGTTGTATTTCATTTCTGTTCGGCATCAGATGGTGACGTTTTTCGAAGGCGATGCCCTTGTTACTAGTAGCATCTTGCTACTAGTAGCAATGCAGCTGTTACTAGTGGTTTCTTGAAATGAGAAAAAGGTCATTCGGGGCTGGGTCACATCCTATCTTGCCGCGGTCTGAGGCGACAACGTGGGATTGAACATCAAGGGCCTGGACAAGAACCTTGCTGAGCAGATAGTTTTTGATCTTCCCGGATCTGAGCATGCTCCAAACACCTGTGTGTTGCTGGCTTTGATACTTCAAATTGTTAAATCCTGAAGCGAACCATGGAAAACATCTTCCGTAGCTTCGTGGGTAGACAAGTTCAGACAGGCAGAAACTGCGGCTTGTCCCCAAAGAAGTTTCTTCTTTCTCCCCAAAGAAGCTACCTGAGTTCCCGAAAACGACAGCCCTCTCACCTGTGCCGCCCCTCTCACCTGTGTCACCTTGGGCTTCGTGAGGAACAACATGCCACGCTCCGGAGATGTCATGGTTTACAAGAAGGACACGACCTTGGGACAGACCAAGGAGCCCACCACGCGGCGCGTTTTCGCGGCGTTTTCACAAGGTGCAGGCTCTAGAATGCAGGTGTGCTATGGTGTGCTAGAATTTGCGATGAATGCTTTGGGATGGTGTTTGGTGCGACGTTCAGTGGTTGGACTTATGATATTGGATTTAGTGTTGGCGTTGGCTTGGGAACTTTTTAAAGGCCGCTCCCCCTTAAGTGAGCGGGTGACTGCACGGGTCGAGCCCACCTCTTCATCCCGGCCGTTACTAGTAGCGATGCCAGGAGGCCGGTTCGTAGCGTCCTTTGCTCCGTTCGTAGCGATGCCA